GGGACTAGTAACATGCAGACTTCTCGTGATGAAGGGACTAGTAACATGCAGACTTCTCGTGATGAAGGGACTAGTAATATGCAGACTTCCCGATATGAAGGGACTAGTAACATGCAGACTTTCCGTAATGAAGGGGCTAGTAACATGCAACTTCCAGTGATGAAGGGACTAGTATCATGCAGACTTACCGAGGTGTCAAGTGCACATCTGATGAGGAAGAGGCAAGTTTTCAACACTTAAACGAACTTAAATATTAGCATATTTGAATGACGCAAGCTGATTTCATATCGTTTAGAAATGTGTAGATATATAATTAATACCTTTTCTTCACTTATAAAAAATTAAATGATCACATATACTTTTTCTTTTACAGGCATCCTGTAATGTTAATTATCCCCACAAGAAGATGGACATTTTATTATTAGAGAAACAGGTAATAATACAGTTAAAATATAATGTAACCACTTCATCATAAAATATACCATTTAATCCAAAATGATACGGGCAGCCACTTACAAATACAATGAATGTTCTCAATCGCGGATACTCTGAATATATTGGATGATACAATATCCTATTTAAGAAATAAAGATAAAGTTAGGATATGCATTAATTCCAATGATTTGGATATATCAATCAGTACATGTTTACAGAATATGGATGATTTATCACCTGATATAAACTTAGCCAAAAGTTAGAGTAGAAAGGACATAGCATTTGAAGAGTTTTTCAAAACTGGGGGCATTACATTGGAATTACATGTTGGTAGTGACAGACGTAAATTATCGAATATTAACATTGATCGATTTAAAACAAAAACATCAGTTATTTCTATAAATATAACGATGACCTTTGCTGTGCTTAGGCTATAGTAATAGCTTTAGCATAGCTCAAAATATCCGAAATACAGATATATTAGAGATTAACGATGACTGCTACAAGGTCAGTGGACCAAATATTATCCCCTATCTTGGTGGCTGTAGAGGACCAATCATATTTTCTATATAGGGATTGGATGATGAAGAGAATCACATCTTCATGTAAAGGCAAAAGACTGTCAAACTGACATAAAAAGATTAAGTTAGCTATGGTTCTGTCAATCTGTTTATTCATTCTCTATTTTCTCACACGTATATACACCAGAATAACAAGCTAATTTCCTATCTCCCATTTTTTTGCATATAAAGCAAACTTTACTGAGTTATAATAGAGAAGATAAGGGAAGTCATTTGACATCATCTATGTGACTAAAAGACATGGTGGGTAGATTTTATGATATCAACTTTAATGATGGTGAGAACAACGGAATCAAAAGCTACATATGGAACTCAAACAATTGACATGATCGGTTGTCTACATTCAGACATGCAGAATAAGTTTAAAACTTTGGATTGTAAAAAGTAAAAATTAATTTTGTATCAAATGATGAACTGGGATTCAAAACTGTGCTACAAAACATTTCTATCTATAATGGAGTAGTCAAGATCAGCTTGTCAATCATTATGTTGTACACTAAAGCATTTCAGAAAGGAATGACTAAATATTTACTGTACAAATCGTTTTCAATTCCCTGGCAAAACTTACAAACATCTATTGATAATGCATTTTCAGGTCAAGTATCTACACGTCCTTTTATAGGATGTGTTGATAATAATGCATTTAATGGATTTTGGAAGGAAAAATTCATACAATTTCAAACATTACAGTATCAATGTTGTGGCAATCTGGAAAACAGATTCCCACTCAATCTTACAACTTTATTTTGATGATGAACTGTATACAGGAAGCTATGAAACATTGTTTAGTGGAACGGGAAAACAGTTTCAATATCAAAGAATTGAGATTAAATATGACAAATACTCGGGAGGTTACATACATTCAAATTGAAACTGTTTTCTATAATTCAATCTCACAAAGATATTAAAGACGTATTTATTCATGATTTTGCTGCAAAATATTTTCGTGTACACACAATCTTAATATATACATCTTTTCATGTTTATCAAAATATTTTCGTGTACACACAATCTTAATACATACATCTTTTCATGTTTATCAAAATATTTTCGTGTACACACAATCTTAATATATACATCCTTTCATGTTTATCAAAATAATTTCGTGTACACGCAACCTTAATATATATACATCTTTTCATGTATATCAGATTGCAAAATTTTTATTGCGAGAAAATGATAAAGTTTCAAAATGTGTTAAGAATTTTTATTGATATTCTTAACCAAAAAAATAGAAATAATAGTTTTACTTTTTAGTACGTGTAATTAAATATACAAATTTACAATGTAATCATGTTGATCTACATCACCCTCTGGTGGTTTGCTTATAAACTATCTGCACACTCATTATATCAACGCGTCCTTTGGTGCCTCTTCGTGGAACTATGACATCACCCCTAGCAACACGTCCTCTCATGCAACTACGGTGACCATTACGCAACATTTATGTGATGCTCGGGCGGCATCCTTTGGACACAGGGTTACTGGGATAACTAATAAAATGCATATGAACATCAGCCTTAACAATAATAAACATCAGCTTAAATATATATCCATAATTACTGACCAAATTACATTTTATATTTTCAACAATCAGTATTATTCGATTTCAAACTACCAGTCAACGCACAGAATATGACGTTACCTGTAACAGCTAATTCGTAAAATTTGTTTCTCTTCATAGTATATTTCGGTATTCTCAAAACTGGGCCTCTGTTGCTTGGCAGGAAGAAGTCGCTACTGTTCACATGCCAGTAAAACTGAAATTAATATATAGCTCTTGTAACAAAATGTGATAGATGATAAAATAAGATACTATTAACCAACAAATTGAATAAGCACAACCACAGTTGATTAAATATTGGCTACAAAGTATACATGCATATCAACTTTCGTCATTGACATATCAAATAAGCAGTAGGAAGTAGAATAATTTTGAATCATACATTTACAAACGAAGTTGGTAGAATCCAGATAGAAATACCAAAGGAAATAGAACAAGTAGAGAAGAAAAAGTAAGATCAAATAGGATTAATAAGTGAGTAATGGTAGAGAAAAATATATTTAAAATGTGAAACATATCTAAAAACTTCATCATTTATTTCCAAAAATAGCTGGAAGTTATCAAACATTTCTTTAGAACCTCAGGCTTGTAAAAAGGTTTCTCTTGTTTCGTACAACAATGACCAGTTGAAGAGTCTGAATATCATGAAAAATGTTCCCATAAAATTTACAGCTGTAACAGAGATTTCAATAAAAATCTTGGTTTTATCATCTAATTTCCCCCTTTTTTTTCTTCTTTTTGATGGCAAAATACTGATATTTAAATAAGATTGAAAACATGTAGATAAAATTTAATCATTTCCTGAGAGGATATCATAAAATAAAATAAAAAACGAATAGACAAGAAATTATTTAGATTATCTACATTTTAAGGACAAGGTTTAATCTGCACATTTTATCTTGGAACATAGAAAAACCAGGATTATAATTTCACCACTGGTGTTACATCTGACCTTAGTTATTTATGTATTGTGTGTTAGCTTAATTTCGCACAAAACTACTCAAAGATAACATGCGCTAGCTATCTCTAATTTTGAAATGTCTGACGAGAAGGACAGCCAGAATAGAGGGATTTAGCCATCACTCTTAAAATACACCCACAATCCCAAAGTACTAACCATTCGGCTATCATTTCATTAAAAGTAGTGATATTTCATCAATAAATATATGTTATCTGCTCATTTTACAACAGAAGTTACTCCTGGATCCTTGAAGGTCAACACTACATCAATCAAAGAAAGTACTTGCCATAGTTACCAACTTTAAGAGACTGAAGACATTCATTTCGTAATAAAGATCGATAATACAATTGATAATTGTGAAGAAAGTGACAGCTATTATACAACAGTATCAGAGGATGCTTCAGTGGTTTTGATAAAAAAAACAAAACATTTACTCTACAAAATCAGTGAAAGATGTGTAAAACAGTAAATCAAAATTGTATGGACTTCAAAGGAAAATGATATAGAATGGATTGAATGTGACCAAGATGTTTTTGCAGAACTTTTTGGAAAAATGGGAGATTATTTAAAACTGCCTTTATTGTGGTTGGAAATCTTTTTATTCCAGTTAAATTTAAGTTTTACAAAAGTATTGATATCAATAAAAATGTCAGATTTTTTGTATAGGGGCTGGATTCTTTACAGTAGGTGTCTGTGACTTGTTTACAATAACTTTCAACAATAAATTCACAGCAAACAGTCCATTTATTTTAAAATAATGTATTAAAACAAGCCAAACATATATGCAAATGCTAGTCACACTATTGGTTATCACAGTTGTATCCAGTGCTTTAAAAAATTGTCTCTTTTTCATTAAAGTCCACACACACACTGGTTCAATTACTTTAGAACACAATTGGCATGGCAAATTCTTCTTCTCTTCTCTGTTATCATAACACAATCTGTGATAATTTCACTTTAAAAATTGTCACTATACAGTCTTTTTCTCTAAATTCACAATCACGCAGTCTAGACCTAACTAACTAAAGTAAAATTAGTAAATAAAATTAAGAAGGTCAACGTTTTAACTTAGAGTTTAGTGGTGTAAATTTTACAATGTTAAAAGAAGGTCAACGTTTTAACTTAGAGTTTAGTGGTGTAAATTTTACAATGTTAAAATATGCTTAGTACGTGTAACTTAGGCTTAAGTATATTTCAACTTACTGGTAGCTCGTAAAACAGGTAAATACACTGTTTTTATTAAAAAATACAGTCTAAAAACTAATTTATTATCTCTTCCTGTTCTAAGGATGAACTTGCTTACTTGAACTTAGATCCATTTAAATTCAACCTACTGTTATAGGTAGATTATGATATTGTTACGACAGCGGAAGTCACGTGACCCTGGTAACACGTCATGAGTTTCTAGAAGGATCATGAATGTTCCTGGAAACTTGTGTTTGCCAAACGCTCTCTATTTTTGTATATAAGCCCGGCAAATAAAGCGGAGATGAAGAGTGATGGCACACATAATTGCAGATAGACAGATAATTGAGTCAAGTGAGCGGTAGTAACCGTAAGAAAAGTGCGTGAATCGTTGTGTATTATAGCTGTGTTTAA